AAGAGTCAGGCATACATCTAGCATCCTAACATAATAAACCATGACCGACATTGGTGCCTTCGATCCGCTAAACATAGTGAGGAAATTCACCTTGCATTTGAACAATAGCTGATGAGGCCTTGACTCCGATCTCTACTCTGACTGACACCTAACCTTCAGAAGGACAATTCTCTAACAACCTCCTCCATATTGTGGCATAATAACCACGTCGTGGTGCTTCATTAAACTCCTAAGGCCTAAAAGCTTATTGCCATGTCGTGGCCGGAAAATATATCCATTACCATTACCACCTAAATTCTACCTCCTCATACATTCACCCTCTAAAATAGAAAACAAAGTATATGTGACAACCGTCAAATTCAAGTCAAATTCAAAGTCAACAAGTCAAAGTCAAGTCAAAAAGTCAAACCGGTCAAACTTATCTAATACTTGTATGATTAAAAGTTATTCTGTGAAAATGTACATTTGTATGTCAAGAATTCAAGTGCGTCAGATATTTTATGTGTTTATCAATGTGAAACCCTAAGAAGGGAGTTAAACGCATCAAAACAAGACTATGGACCCTTTTAGGGACTTAAAATAGTCATAAATGAAGTATAATCGGATTCACGAACCTTGCATTGCAAGGCTATACACTAATATTGACTAAAATCAAATCTCTCCAAAATCTCTCTCAAAATCTCTGTTAACTTTTTAAAGTCATCTGGGTCATCCTAACCCTTAACTTGGCCAAAAAAATCACGCAAAATGGGAAGTTATATTGAAAAACAACTAATTGGGGGTTGAAACCCTTTTTAGGAACCGAACCCTCTTAGAGGGGCCTCTTAGAGCTGAACCCTCCTATTAGGACCGAAGGTCCCTCAGAACTGAAACCAGCCTCGGACCGAGCCTCCTCAGAACTGAAGTCAGCCTCAAGGACCGAACCTCATCAATAGCCGAAATGGACCGAGACTTCAATCAATTTCGCTCCTCTCACACCTCTGGGCTCGAGCTTTGCACCCTCGGTTCTTCCTTCTCCCCACTCTTGGTTCTCACCAAGCAACTGAACCAACCTTCGGTTCTGGCTGCTGGGACCGAACTGTAACGCCGTCAAAATTCAAACAATTTTTCACTTTTCAAAACCATATAAATTCATTCATAATCACTTTCAAGAAAACAATGTATCAACATTATCTCATTACAAATCCCCAAAATCATAACATATCAATAAAACTCTGTGCGTGTGTGTACTGATCATGTTGGCGCCTTCTCGCGATCCTCACTAGAACCTGAAACACATAACACAAAACACTGTAAGCACGAAGCTTAGTGAGTTGCCTAATATACCGCACATAACACGTACTAGCCACTTGAGGGTATAACTCTGCGGGCCCTTGGGCCCTAACTCTGTGGACCCTCTGGTCCTAGCTCTATGAACCCTCCGGTTCTAACTCTGGTATATTTTGATATACACACGGCATAAATCACATAGAAATAATGCAGTACAACACATCATATAAATCGCATGCAATAATTCTGTCACATAACTCTAATTACCACTCAAGATAAAGTATAGTGAGAAGACTCACCTCAGATGTCTCGGTAATATCTCGCTCGCGTAACACTGATCTAGCCTCTGCCTAAACACATAAATGATCATCCTAATTATAATGGCTCTCCATGCTAGACTATATCCTCACACGTCCTCTAAGAAGGCTAAAAGACCATTTTACCCTTCAAACAGCTCACGAGTCCAATTGTTGACCATACCCTAAAAGTCAACAAAAGTCAATGGTCAACTCTTTGACCAGACACGCCCGAGTGCACAATTGTGACTCGGTGAATTCAGTCATGAACTCACGTCCTCAAAATCCCCAATGACTCACCAAGTCACTTCCCCAACTCAGCGAGTTACCATCTGTGTGATTCATGGGGAAAAACTATCCTACTCGCCGAGTCTGTTCTTGGACTCGGCGAGTTCATGCCATGCTCAAACTCAAATGACCTCCTGAGGTCAGATCTGTTCCTCTAACCCATAGATCTAGCCTCCTTAAGCAAGATAAACACGTAAAGTTTGGATCTTGATGCCCATGCAAGGACCTAATGGCTCTATTTGAAGAAATGGCCTCAATATGCCATCCTAAGCTCACATCTCCTAATGACACCCATAAAGATCAAGGAGTTAAGGTCTCTGGACCTCTTTAGATCCAGATCCAAAGTCTCAACACAAGAAGGGACCAATTGCTCCACAATCCATACTCTAAAGGGGCTAGAAACCCAAACTCTCAAAGATTAACGCCAAACTGAAGAAGGATCAAAATATATACCTTAGTATGAAGTCCTTAGACTCTGAAATACACAAAATATCACCCTCTTTAGTTCCCTCTTTCCTTGGCCACCTTCTTCTTGCAAAAACACCCACACAAGGATCAAAAATGACATCTTCTTCCTCACAAACGCTCTAGATCTCTTAGGGTTCCTCTCAAGGGTCTTGTAGCCGCAAATGGTGGCTAGAAGCCCCTTTAAATAGTTCCCAAACCCCGGGAATTAGGGTTTCATTAAACAACATGGACTCATCGAGTCCGCCATTAAATCAGTCCGACCATCCGCGATCCTAGTCGGCGAATCTGAGCACCTACTTGCCGAGTCTCTCTCTAAAAACTCAATATAAATGCGTAAAATAAGATACCTGGGAATCCGGATGTTACACGAACATCGAACCAAATCCGAGTAACCTCGCAGGTTCGCTTATTTTTCCCGGTTTTGACCCTTTTTCGCGTTTTAAGCCCCGGTTTTCATGATTTTAAGGTAGGATTTTCACCCAAATTCATATTTTGACATATAAGACCCTATATATTCATATTTATTCATATCCCAATGATTTATTAATTATAAAATCATTATTTCATTAATAGAAATATCTAAAGATATTTTACCCCACAAGTGGGTCAAGTGTGCCCACTTGCCACCATGTGTCACTTCCTTATCAGCCCAACCCTATCCACATCACACAAACAAAGGTAAACATCCTTTCAACTTTGCAAGTTGCTCCAGAAACATCTATATAAGTAAATCCCTGGAAGATTTCTTGGTTCACTTTGATCATTCTCTAACTTCTCAAACCATCAAAAGAGGCTCTTTTTCTCTCTACTACCAGCCACTTTTTGCAAGTGTTCTTGAGCTATTACTTCACTTTTTGGTTAGTATTTCATCTAAACTCAAGTGTTATTCCATGTTTTCATAATACCCTTGGATCATCTACACACATTTAACATCAAAAATCGTTCTTAGGATCATGCAACACTTCAAGTGTTCATCAAGTGTTCTTGACTTGATACTCCTCGTCTTCGACCTTCGACTCTTCGAAGAATCACTCAAGGTGAGTTCAGACCCCTACACTTTCTAGTTTTCTTTAGTTTTCAAAAGGGGGAGGGGGGGATACAAGTTAAAACACCAAAACATATTTAAAACTTAACTTGACAACTTACAACAGAAAAGTTGTGACCTGTTCACGAACTGTTTTACCCAACTTAAACATAATATTTTTCAAAACTGTTTAATATGCAAATATTTCAGGTTTATAAATTTAAAATGACTACTTGCAAATATCCATATGATTTTCCTACAATTAATGGTGATTTTAACAAAACTGTCTATCACTGCAACAACAAAATCAGACCAGGTTGTGAAGGTGAAAATTTTCGCACTAGTTTAAGACCACTAAAAGTTATAGGAAAATTTATGAACATAGTAGACTCTTTTTCCACACTCTATGAGTTTACGAATTCAGTTTTCGACTTACAATGATTTTTCTATAAATATTCTAAAACAGTGACAGTTAAGGGTAAAACTATCAAAAAGAGTTTAAGAGTTATTCACACCTTGTAACATGCTGAGCAAGGTGTGTAAGATTTTATACTTAGTATTTTCAATGTCATTTTATTGAAATACAAAGCCGTGCATAACAAGGTTCATTTAAAACTTAAAACACTTTTGACAAACTATAATAGGTATAGTTTGGACACCCCATTTAATAAAGAAACGGTAATACAATCGATTTACAAAGTGGGTATTTCATTACAAACTACGTGAACATGTTAATGAATAAATTTTTGAGACATTCACCTTCAGGGTACTCTTAAGTACAATAAAAAAGTCTTGTAGTTATAGCCAGAATCTCTTGTAGGGAGAGCGTGATAGTTGTGTATAGATCGATATTGGGTCTAACAAAATCGAACCTAAGTTGCTTGCAACAGCTAGTCTTCCAGGTTTGGTGTGACAAGTGTCATAACATTCTGACGCTTGAAGAACGTCGAGGATGAGGTCTTCGAGTTGTAGCATGGTTATAACAACTCACATGGGGAATTAACAAAACACAGTTCACGGGAATTTAAGGATTTCTCAAAAAAATAGTTTTATTTAAATATAAAACCCCACATAAGTATGACGATTTACTTACATATACTAAATCTTAGGTCAATTAAGACTACAACAAACCTTTTGAAAATATTGGATTTTCTGGAATAAACTTGTAACAAACTTTAAGGAACAACATCCATTTTTCATTCATAAATTGCTTATGAACTCACTAGCTTTAATGCTGATACTCTTTCAAAAACAACTTGTATTCTCAAGTATTCAGTAACACAGGTAATCACAAGATTTTTGAAGGAGAGATGCTAAGGCACATATTTCTTTTGAACTATTTTGACATCATATATAATTTATTTGGAAACATGTATTTTTGCTACGATGTAACCTTTTAAATTATATTTATGATGGTTGTGTTTACTTTCTTCACTATGGTTATGATACTGAGCATGACACCATCCGCCCCCGAACGTTTTCGTCGTTCCTATTTGGGGGTGTGACACTATAATCCCCACCAGTTTACCTTCTTATGGAAATCCACTACCCTCTCGCTGAAAAATAAAGAGACGACTAGGGATTGGTGTATCGATGGTGGTGGGTAGTTAGCGATGACAAATCTACGATGATGGTTGGAGTTGAATAGTTCAGAGTTAGTCTGGTGACCTAGTTTCAGGTATAAGGAAAAAGGGAAAGAGAATGGATGGAGGAGGGAAGGTTGAGATGGACCATCCGTTGACTTGTACTTTCTCGATCCTCTTTCTTGACCGATGATGACGATATGGTGGATGAGGCTTCATTGTGGTGGGTGGCAGATGGTGGATCTTAGGCGTTGGAGATAACGACTTCTCTTGAGATTGTGATTGATCCATGAAAAAATGATATGGTGGATGGGGCTTCATCTATAGTGGGGTGATTTTATTTTTTCTTACTTTGATTTGTTTACTAAGAATTTGGATTTAATCGTTTGAAAGGAAGGGGATGGGAAGTTTGGGCTGTGATTTTTTCTAGCATCGGGAGTGTGTGAGAAAGAGGGAGAAGAATGTAAAGGAGGCTAGGGAAATGGAAGGGGATGAGTGTGGATATTTATTTATTTACTTTTTAATACAAAATTATTAAACATATAAAAGAATTTTTCAAGGGTAAATTAATCTTTTTAATATAAAATCTTTTATCTACACATGATACCTTGGAGCTTTTCTTCCAACAGTTTGGCGTCGTCCACCTTCAGATACCTAACAAATGCAAAGCTCTTATAGCAATCTTTCTTGTCGTCGAAGTACACATCGACTACATTCCCAAAACCGCTAAATGGCTTACGAAGTTCTTCCTTTCTCGTGCCATCTGGAAATCTAGTCATGTAGTAGTTTGTAAGATCATTGCCATACTTCTCAAGATTAGCATCGCCGTGTGGTCTGGTATTGTTTTTCCTCCGCCGTAACTCTATCCAAACCCCATCCATGGATAATATCCTAGATGTACAGTTTGCTTATATAGAAGACATAAACATTCTTGACGGACCGCTAGTAATCAACGAACTGTACTCATGGGCAAAGAAAGTGAAGAAAAAGATATTATTGCTCAAAGTGGACTTCGATAAAGCGTTTGACTCGCTTAATTGGGAGTATCTGGATTCCATTCTTTTTCAGATGGGCTTCGGAGTAAAGTGGCACCAATGGATTCAAGGTTGCTTACAATCATCTTATGCCTCTGTTATTATGAATGGGTCTGCAACAGACGAGTTCCGAATATTCAAGGGTGTCCGTTAAGGAGACCCCTTTTCCCCATTCCTATTTATCATTGCAATGGAGGGGTAAGGGACAAAGGGATCTTCAAGGGTGTTCAATTACCTAATGGTGGTTTAGATCTTACACACTTATTTTATGCGGATGATGCACTGTTTGTAGGGGAATTGTCCAGATCTAACCTAAAAAATCTTGCTAGAATCTTAAAGTGCTTCCGTATGGCGTCTGGCCTTAAGGTTAATTTTGGCAAATCATGGGTGTTCGGCATTGGCGCATCTGATATCGAAACTTCAAATTGGGCTAGCATATTGGGATGTGCACCTGGTTCGTTTCCATTCACATACCTAGGGGTACCTGTTGGTGTCAATATGAATCTTATCAAACATTGGAGACCAATCATCGATAAATTCAATTCGAAGCTGTCATCCAAGAAATCTAAATCCCTTTCGTTCGGTGGACATCTAGCACTAATCACATCGGTACTCGGTAACCTCCCTACATACTGTTTTTCCTTATTTGTTGAACCGGTGGCAGTAATAGAATTTTAGAAAGGATAAGTAGACGATTCTTATGGGGCGGAGACCATGAGAAAAGGAAGATACGTTGGGTCTCTTAGGACAAAGTGGTGGCCTCAAAATCAGCAGGAGGACTTGGTGTTGGATCCATACGTGCATTAAATATTGGTCTAATAGTGAAGTGGTGGTGGTAATTAAAGACTGAGAAAGGATCCTTGTGTGGATGAGTTGTAAAAGGTGTGCATTCTCTATATAACAAACCTCATGACTACATGTCCAACAGAAACATCAAAGGGGTGTGGCATAATATCACTTCAATTCGTAAAGATCTCACCAAACATGGTTTGGATTTTTGTGATATATTTCAATTTCAAGTGCAATCTGGAGAAAACTCTTAATTTTGGTACGATAAGTGGGTGGGCTCGGAAATGCTTAACAATAAATAACCAAATCTATTTGTTCTCGAGTCTAAAAAACAGTGTACAGTTTCTGATAGATTCTATGAAGGCTTGTTTGAAGGACACTGGAATTCATGCCCCAATCATGTGGGGTTGAATGAGGATCTTAATAATCTTAAACTAGACTTGTCCCACGTGCGAGTAATCAATGGTGAGGACAAGTGGTCATGTAAATTGGATACTTATATGGAGTATACTGTGTGTGCGCTTAGGAGAAAGATTGATTAGATTGCGGATCCATACCCTCCACTACCGATTATCACATGGTGTAAGGAGGTACCCATAACAGTAAACTGCTTTTTGTGGAGGACATTACAGAAAAAATCCCATCATCTGAGGCCCTTAGATTCAGAGGTATTGAGATTGTATCGAGTCTGTGTGGTGCCTACATCAATACGACTGAAGATGTTGACCATATCCTCATCCTTTGTCCATATGCTCGTGCGGTGAGAGAAAAAATATTTTATTGGTGTGAGATTCCGAACCATGATTGTAACAACCTTGGAGATATGACCAAATACATTGCAAACAGGTGCAGTAGTACAAGGAGGCGTCATAGAATAATGATTATCTTTAGTGGACTCATTTGGAGTTTATGGAAGTATATTCATGATCGCATATTCAATAAAAAGATGATGTGTTCCAACAGAGGTGCTGAAAATATCAAATCTCTAGTTCATATTTGGATAAAGAGTAGGGGAAATGGTGGACTTTGTTGGTGGTTAGATTTGATGTCTTCTACATTTTGCTGTTTATGATCATGTTCCTTTTTTTCTTTTGTAAACTATATGTCATAAAAATATGTATTTGTTGCTTCTTGGTTCCCTCCTAGTCACTTGCTAGTTGGGGCCACATTTATATAATTTTGTCGTTCAAAAAAGAAAAACAATATTAAATTGTCGGTTTATGTGCGTTGGTTGGTTATGACGATTGAATATTTAATCATCAATATCAATATTTCAATTGCTTGTTATATATTTTGACAGTTTCTGTCACACCCCAAAACCATTGAATGATGGAAACGTTCTAGGGCGGAGGACGTCATGTACAGTATCACAACAAAAAGTAGTAAACAAGCAACAACATCATCCATTGCATTAATAATATAACGTTAATACAAGTGTATTCTGATATGTATAATAGACACTAAAGAATAAATCAAAATGAAAGATGAGTCTTGAATGAGCTCCATCTTCCTTAATCCTTGCATTGGTACCTGTCTATGATGACCTAAGGATACAAGTAATTTTGAAAGAGAGTATCAACTTTAAAGCTGGCTAGATCATAAGTATTTCAGTGTCTGAATTTGTATGAAAATACTTGTATGTATTTGAAATGTAAGTAATTGTATGTATACGAATTGTAAGTATTGAAAATGTAAATGAACTGTAGGTATGAAAATGTTTGTGAAACAACTGTAAACGTTTGAAAAGCCCTAGAAATCCCTATGATTCCTATTAGTAACAAAAGGAGTCTTCTACCAAGACTTAACTGATCTCAATGTAGTCTTCTACCAAGACCTAACTGCTCTGCATGTAGTCTTCTACCAAGACCTAACTGTTCTGAATGTAGTCTTCTACCAAGACCAAGCTGTATTAATATTACCCTTTGGAACAAGGGCAACTAACAATGTAAACCGAAGACATCCGTAGATGTACATTTACCTCTGTTGCTAACAGCTGGGTATAGGAATAGTCAGTCCCCGAAAGTATACCTGTAATGGTATCAACCGTTGACATCCGTGGATGTGCTTTTACCTCTGTAGCTAGTAGAGATTTTAGGAATGGCCAGTCCCGCAATGTATCCTTGGGTACTAGGATATTAAATCCATTCTATCTCGTCGATTATGTGATTGAATCACAAGGTAAAGATAGGAATGAGGGTTATATAACAGAATCTATACATATAAAATGTACTAGTAATTCTTGTAAGTGTACTCATGTAAATATGATCATGTGACCATATCTATGTAGTAGTATGGTAATGTACTGTAATGTTCTAGCTAGTATTGTATGTGCTCTGTACCTAGAAAGTATAGTAATGTACTCGTTCTAGTATCATTGTATATGTTCTCTTTTTAGTATAGTTGTATATGTTCTCTCTCTAGTATAGTTGTATATATCCTCTCTCTAGTATAGTTGTATATGTTCTCTCTCTAGTATTATTGTATATGTTCTTTCTCTAGTATAGTTGTATATGTTCTTCACTAGTATAGTTGTATATATTCACATAGTAGTAAGTATCGAATCATGAATGAACTGACTCATAGTATGATATTGTGTTCTAGTAATAGTTCTAGTATCTTCCTGAACTACCCATATGGTAGTTTACTAGTAATCTATCTGGTACTTATGGATATAGATGTATACCCTTGCTACCCAAGGGCATGGGATGAAATGGAAGGACCTTTATGACTATATATGTATATATGTTATATAACTAATATTTAAATGACCTTCGGACGAGTACCCGATATCCCACCAGACCACATCTCAAGCGCGAAAAGGAAATAGGGTGGATAGCCGTCCTAAGTCTTTTAAACATTTCTTATATAACTATACATATAGAGGCATGCAATTTATAATATAAAAGCATAAAATAAGTTTTGTAAAACCTTTGAACATAATTATTATCTAAGAAAAGATCGACTTGATGTCAATTTCTAAACCGTTTTGAAGGCATGGGTTTGATAAAACAAATTTAGTATAAGGAAACTTTTGTTTGAATCACAATTCTAAATAAGTTTGAAAAGTAATATACAAAGTAAAATGTACAAATAAATAAGGAGTTTTAAACACATAAAGTGTTTATGAAAGACATTTGGAGGAAACTCTTTAGTAAAATGGCTAATGAGTAGCCAACCATTTGAATGCTGCTTATTAATCACATGTGATTGATATAATAATTAGCATAATTCTACTTGTATCCTCCCCCATAAAACGTTTAAAAATAGTTTAAAACATTGATTAAGGGGTATGAACTCACCTGTAGTGAGTCGTTCTGATGAAAGCGTTGGATCAGTTGCTATGTATCAAGTGGTGGCTTGAGTACACACATGAATCCTATTTAGCATATATTGGCATATATATGAATATAATTAGTGTTATGAACGACTGAATAATGATTTTGGGACCACCTTAGGGACTAGTAAACACTTATAATGAAGTGTATGAGGGTTTATAAGGCTATACAAGAGTGTGTATGGCCAAAATACACACTATATGTGTGTGTGCGGCCTAGTGTGCTGCGAACACATGTGTGCGGCCCTGTGTGTGGCCATGTGTGCTGCCAGATGGTGTGTGCTGCCAGGTGTGCGGCCAGATGGTGTTTCTTGGTGTTCTTGGTACCTTGTATGAAGATCTTCAAGGAGAATGGATGATACTTGAGGGGATTTCGTGTTCTATGCTTGAAGAAGTGAAGGAAGTGTTAAAAAATGACTAAGTGTGGTATATATAGGTGGAGTGTGTGGTTGGGAAGGGTGTGAGGCCGCAAACACATGTGCGTGGCCGGACACTCAAGTGTGTGGCCGCACACTCCATGTGTTGGAGTGTTTGGCCTCTTTTTGATTCCTACACTTTGAGTTAACCCATTTCCACACTCCAACCTTGATTATAACACGTTTAGAACGCTCCAAAAGACCCTAAATGGTACTACAAGATAGCAAAACGAGTCTATTATTGATAAGAAATGAAGAATGCAAGTTAGGAATTTTTGGGTTGTCACAGTTTGTGTCACACCCCCGAA